GTTTATTTTTGTTTATTGTTTCTTCTTTACACTACATATGAAGTTATTTTGTAGCTTACATTCGGCTAATGTTTTATTCTGCGGCGGAAGTAAATTAAGTAAATACAAAAATAAACAGCATATAGTATACATCAAAATTCGTCTAAGCCCTAAGTTAAGATACTTGATGAATGAATATGTGGTTATTTATACATTATTAATAGTACTTAATGAGAAAAAATCAAGTAGAAAGAAATATTTTGATCCAATTTACCCACATTTGTGCAAGACTCAAAAATTTTTGGCAGTTAGTTACGCACTATAATGCTTTTCAGCTTATTAACGGACAAAACGGACATATCAAGTAAGTGGTAATAATCATTGAATATTTTACACATTACCCGAAACGGATAAAAGGACTCATAATTGGTGCGGCAAGAGGCCAAGATGGCATATATAACTAGGAAGCCAAAGTAGCGACCATTATTCAAAAGTTGGTCTACCTAAAGATATATAGAAGCGTTTGATAACGTGTGAGACTTTGAATTCTTTAGACCATCTTTTTAGAAAACCTAAAAGTTACCTAGCTTCCTTAATTGACACTTCCAGCCAAAACTTAATGTACGCTGATGATGTGACACTGTTTTCTTCCTTTTCCGTAGAATCGCAATCACATCAGCTTTAAATCGCCTTGAATAATTTGGTTGCATGCTGATCGTTGAATCTTATGGAACTAAATCTAAATATATGCAAGGAGCTTTTTTCCTCGAAAAGGAAGTCATTCATTACTCAGTATCTCGTTGATTCGCACAAGTTGGAGGACGTCGATTCGTTCACAGATTTAGGCATTCTATTTGACCATGGGTTACGTTTTAACTTGCACATTGAGCTCTGGTTAAACAAAGATTGGTCCACACTTGGTTTTATAAAAAGGGTGGTCCAAAGAGCTTGATGATCATTACATTACGTACATTTGTTTGGTTAGACCCATACTCGAGTATGCCTCAGTTGTTTGGTCTCCTTCATATTGGTGCTACGTAGATTGAATTGAATCTGTTCAAAAGCAATTCTTGCTGTTTGCCCTTAGGAATTTGGCTTGGCACCCGATTGCCCCTCTTCCACCCTATGAAAATACTTGCTTCTGCTGTCCTTACCGTCCCTTGCGAAATGTAGATTTGTTCTTGGGGTTTCCTTCTTAATCAAGGTAGTAAGTGGTGCTGCTGACTTCCCCGCATTACTTGGTGAGATAAGCAAATGATGTCTATCACTTGTTTTCAGTATTGGATTCTTTAAAATCCATTGAAGCAATTTTGCTTAATACGTGCGAATTGCATTCTTAAATTCTCATTTTTTTGTTTCAAAAACTAATGTGTTTTTAGCGTTGTCGGTTGCCGAGCTTATGCATGTTCACAATGGTTTAGGTGTATTACAACATTAATCTGTCCTTGTAATGAGTGTGCTTTTGTGCTAGCTGTGTACATGCTTTTTTTTTCTTTCTTTATTTATACCTAAATTATTATTTCAAGATGGTTTGTTTTTATCCTTTTTCATGTCTTCCTATATATTGTATATTGTAAAATAATTAGTGCAAGATTGCCTATTACTATTTAATATATGTAGCAAATTGTAGTGTGATCGCATACTATCGTATGCATCCACTTGAAGTGTGACAAAATTATGCCACTTCAGCAAAACCCTTTTGATAAAATAAAATGTCACACTTCACTTCGCATGTAAACAGTGATAATTCTGTTTATATAAGAATAATCTAGTGTGTGATAAGGATAATTTAGTAAGCAATTACAACCCTGTTTAGAATAAGATAAGAATAGTTTAGTGCAAAAATTTAGTATAAATAGTGCCTAAGAAAATAAAGAAAATCAGTTCTCATAAAGCAACTCAACCAAGCGTTTTACTCGCTAATAGCACTAGGCTTTCAAATCCGCCTGAACTATTAAAATTAGTGACCGTCTTATGCCGAGACACTTTGGCATTATAAAAGACGGAAAAACTTGGCGTACTGCAGCCGAACAGCATAGGGCCTAAACAGATAAACTAAACACTTCATCCCACATCAAACATCATTACATGGCGATCCTGCAAACCGCGCAGTAACCTGCCCTTATTTTTTTTTGATTCCAAACAAAATGTTTTTTACAACACGATTCCACTAAGGCAGCCAAAAAATTTTCGATCCCGCCCAAATAGATTGTGCACACAATGATCACACGCGAGGACAACAGTCAAATTTCGAGGCAAAAAAATTTTTCTCCAATACGATTCTACGAAGCTCGGATCCTGCCAGCATACTACACACCTCCTACAACAGCCGACCACACAATGATCCCACCCTAAATTAGAAAATATATATGAAAAAAAAAATAAAACATATTTTTTGTAAAGATGAACAAAAAAAATTAAAATATATATATGACAAATACAAATTAAGAAGAACAGATAGATACGTAGAATATTAACATATAAAAAAAATAGCTATTTAAAACACAAATTAAGTTAAAATGTCTTACCACACAAAAAAAAAAAATACTAATAATAAAAACAAACAAAAACCAATTTCAAACACACCAACAAATAATATTATATTTGAGCAACTTTTCCTGTTACAACCCGAAGTAACCTATTTGGGACACCTAGTAACAATCCCACCCAACTAAAAGCCAATCGCTATGATCCTCTCCTCAAAACTTGTATTTTATCACGGTAATATTCACTGCTACACAAGATGCAGTGTACAGACAGGAAATCCTCTCCCACCAACATTTACTAATGATTCCTCTAAATAATACACAAGCTTAACATGCAAAGGAGTTTAAAAGGACAATTGAATATCCAGACTACTGCGGTACGCTCTCGGAAAAATTGATCTGTTTATCTCCCAAGAATGCACAGAAATGTAAGAAAATTATTTAAAAATATATCAAAATGAAGGCAAAGTATATATCAAAGAATATAAGAAAAGTATTTGAAGAATAGAAAGAATATTAAAGATTATTAATGAATATATGAAGAATATTAAAATGAAGAGGAAGAATAGAAAAAACAAGACTACATAAAGTGTGCGAAATAAAAAAAAATATATATATTAAAATGTAGATGAAGAACACATTGAAATGAGGAATATTGAAAAGAGTAAAAAAAGGGGATAAAACCACATAAACTCACCCAATGACGACAAATATATGAAGATTATTTAAGAATATATGAAAAAAATGTTAAAACCAAGAAGATTAACATTGGAATGAGAAATATTGCAAGGACAATTGTATTTGAAAAGTAAATAAAGGGGATATAACTACATAAATAAATGACAAGCCGAAATCATTATTACAAAACTTAACCTCAACTAAACCCACCCAAATTATTTTACATAACATTGTATCAATACAAATAAAAGACATGTCAAACACTATAATAATTTGGTACACTAAATTTAAGAAATGCACAATTATAAACCAAATCTAGTTAAGCCTAAAAATTCGAAACTATAGAAATTTAGAACTACAAACCCAATATAATTAAAAAGTAGGCATACAAAGCTATCAATAAACACTAAACACTTAAAAATTTACTTAAATTAATCAAAAAAAAATTATTACCGTTTAAAATTCTCTTTCATAACAGAAAATTGTTAACGTCCATCAACACATTAACAATTTTCTCTCTAAAATGGTAAGGGTGTAGTGTGATCGAATACTATCGTATGCATCCACTTGAAGTGTGACAAAATTATGCGCTTCAGCATAACACTCTTGATAAAATAAAATGTCACACTTAACTTCGCATGTAAACAGTGATAATTCCGTTTATACAAAAATAATCTAGTGTGTGATAAGGATAATTTAGTAAGCAATTACAATCCTGTTTAGAATAAGATAAGAATAAAGAAAATCAGTTCTCAAAAGCAACTCAACCAAGCGTTTTACTCGCTAATAGCACTAGGCATTCAAATCCGCCTGAACTATTAAAATTAGTGACCGTCTTATGCCGAGACACTTTGGCATTATAAAAAACGGAAAGACTTGGCGTACTGCAGCCGAGCAGCTTAGGGCTAAACTGCTAAACTACATTCATTAACACTTTGGGAAGGATTCATAGGGAATCCGTAAACAAATATTAAACATAAATATTAAAACGCTGCCAATATTAAAATTCATTACAAAATAAACGCTTATCATTAATGATCACTTGATTACACGGTCCGTTACCAGCTAGACAGTTTGCCGCTAGTAACAACGACAGATGGTACCTTTAGGCGAAACAAAGAGATCAGCTCGAGACAAAGATCTATACTATTCGCATTAAAGATGTTGTTAAGTTGACACAAACCTAATCCGTAGATGCCATCGAAGAACTTTTTGTAAGTTAATGGATAAGGAGAGGGAATATATCATCCAAGGTCATCGTGAAGAACCCATGAAACATTGGGCAGATTACAGTCACCTAGCACTATTAACTTTTTAAGCAGATGTAGAGAGCAGAGTAGTAATGTTTTTGTTCAAAGGCAATTCCTTTAAATAAACTGCAGTATCAGACGATGAAGGAATGTAAGTATTACAGGTGTGCAGTTTCATTTTAACGTCCTCTCCTGCGTAACCTGCAAAAACTCAAATTATTTCAAACTGTCACAAAAGCTGTACTAAAAGCAATGAGCAATGAAAATGAATATGCCAGCCAGACAGGCTGTCATTGAAAAGCACTCATGACTGGCAGTAAGGACACCCTTAAATTTTAGAAAAGGATAAAAATAATCTCTATGTTGTTTACATTTACAAGCGAATTGAATTCTCATCATCTGTCGAATTCCAAGCAATTACTAATGGATACATTGCATAATGTCACTATCAAAAATTTAGGTCGTGAAGAATGGACGGAGAGCTACAAATTAAAAATAAAAGTATGACGCATATAATATTTCTTTAAGCTCGTTCGCAAACTGAGCTGTGTTTAGTGTCGGATAGTTTTTATAAGATTTTTATTGATTAAATTATATTCTCAAGTTACCTCAAATAAATTTTTCATGTCTCCTTATGTGATGTGAAGGTGAGTTATTTTCTGGAAATTCTATATTCACTCTTATGTATAACTAGTGAACCTTGATTTTCGTTTCAATTGTTCAACTCAAACTCAACACTAGCAGGACTTTTAGTAGCAAAGCTTACCTTCATAAGAAGAGGAAGAGTCACCATGGCGTGAACATTTGAATTTTAAACGTAACCAACGTAATAACGTTAGAAATCACTTCCGTTTTTGCTCACTTCCCTTAGGTTTGAAAACAACGTCCTTGACGACGAAGCGCTACTCCATGAGCCTTCCTTTCAAGAATCCTATAATGAGGCAAGCCCTAGACCACATACAGTACGGTTGGTTTACTAAAGACAACTCTGCAAAATCAAACATGAGGTGGAGTCTAAAAAATAGACCTGCGTGGCCCAAATTCGGTAAGGTTAATTTTTATGTCAATATAACCGAAAAAATTATGCCTTTTTACTATATAAAGATTCAGTTTCCTTAGAAACGGCTTATATGGCGACCTTTTCCTTATAACGGTTTATCAAAATAAGGCATTATATGGATAGTGGTCGAAAAGAGATCTGATCTGAACCATTATCAACACCACTTCTTCTTGGGCCGAAACACGTCGGTGTGCCGAATTACATCAAAATATCTCAAAAACTGCTCCCTGATCGATTCAGAAAATAAATGCAAATCGATAGGTATAATAAATCGCAAAGTCGATCTTTTCGTACTAAATCAATTTTAAGTGTTACTGCAACTGAAACTTCGTACAAGCTGTTTCACTGCAATACCTCGCGAGGAGAAATAATTAAATGTCACTTTTTCAGTTAAAAAGCCAGCAGTCTATCTCATCGTCGTAAAAATAAAAATAAACGATTAAGGACACATCGGACATGTCACCCTCTACCTATTATAAAATCATTAAACTATATTCCTAACAGAATTTTTTTGAATTCTATTAAAAGCGACCATTGAATCTACTGCAATTTACGCAAATTTCAAAATAATTTAATCTAAATTGGATACCGTTTAACTATACTACCATTGATTGACTTGATTTTATGAACATTTTAAAGAGGGCTTAAGGACGAATTTTAGTTGTAGTAGCATTCCTTCACGCACAGAGCTGTAGTCCCAAATTTTGGCGCAAACTAATGAATCAAATGATTTTCACAATTTGTGTGACGGCTTTCCACGATCTCTTCACAACTTTGAACAACGCCGAAAAAATCAATATATGATGATGTTACTATGTAGTCTCTTTACTTAATAATGGACTTGTGCACACTTGCAAGTCACAAGAATTAAAGGAAAACACTTTTGTATTTCTCACCTGACACCACTAAAGCTTCGTTGGGACCGCAGGTAACGAATCCGCAAGACATCGCTTTTAACGTCGATATTTTGCAATATACAAAATTTTATTCACAGAAATTAAGAAATACTTTAAAAAAACAATAATTTCGAATATAATGTATATATTTCTTTTCTTTGAACTGCCTTGTAAAAAATATATTTTTATAAAAATTTCTTTGTCTGATAAATGTGTATCGGGCAGTGATTAGAAAACTGCCATCGTTTTGCTATATTCCAAATTTAGCCGGTTTAATTATATTGCGCAAAATCCTCATTGAAAATTTTTAGATGAAAACTAAAGATGCCGTATATTATGTTAGATTAATGAACAACAGCCAGAGAACAGCAGAGTAAAACAGGGTTGCACTTGCCTTTTATTTTGTTTAAATACTACTCTTATTTAAACATTTCGCAAAGATTTGGTCACCTTTTAAAATTAATTACCCCATTTAAAAATCTTTTTAACATCAAGCAATTTCGACACAAATAAATTGGAGTCGCGAATACGTACTTCATATACTATACTTACTTACTTATTCTTACACGTTATTATAATAATGTTATTATATATAGGGGCAATTTTAATATATCATAGCAACGAAAAACACTTAACCTTAACAGTAAATAATACAAAATGAGTTTAAGAAACTAAGATAGAAGTTCTAACTGGAGTCGAACGACACACCGCCAAAATGTTTGTTTGCCATTTCGCCAACGACGAGACAAACGTTGAAATCTCTTAGGCAATCATACTTGACAATAATATGATTTCAGTTCAGTGATTTGAACTGTCTGCAAAATATGGATGCTGCATAGCTTGCTCCGCACTAACGCGTTGGTTTGGTCGACAAACTAGCAGCTTCTGTAAAAGATCACGGCCTTTCGAACTGAGACGCGGCACAATTTGACTCCACGAAGTAATTGCAGGAAAATCTTCAAAAAAACGAAAATGTTTGGAATTAATATTTTTACAGTGGAATTTCATAAAATACGTGGTAAAGCCACATAATCCGATAGATGAGTAACACCTGGCCAACTTTCTTCGGTGGGAGTTCCTAACACACGGAATATTTTCATTAGCTGATCTAAAACGTCAGAGCCTGGAAATAACGGACGACCAGCATCCGCTAATTCGGCAAATATGCACCCAGCTGACCACATGTCAATGCTAGTAGTATATAATTTCGCGCCAAACAAAACATCGGGTGGACGATACTGCGCAAAAACATCAAGTAGTACATTAAAATACAAAACCGTAATTGTAAAACAGTGCATATACCCATAGAGTAACCACTTCTGCTGAGTAACATTTCACTGGTATTCCGAAAGCTCTTGCCAAACCTTAAAGAATGTACTTATATAAAATACATAATCATTTTGTTTTTAGGCTTACCAAAATCTGCCAACTTTAATTCACCGTTTTTATTAATCAATAAATTCTGTGGCTTCAAATCCCGATGCAATACATTATGACTGTGGCAAAAAGCCAAACCTTTTAGGAGTTGCAACATAAAACTACGGCAGACAGCCATGTCAATGTCACCGTTCAAGCTATCAAAATATTTCTTCAGATCCTGATCGCAATGTTCAAAAACCAAAGTTAATTTTTTTTCCGAATGTAAGACATCATACAGGCGGACTATATTCTTATGTTTTAATTCCTACTTAACGAAACAAAATTTCTGTATAAAGCGTTTTTCCTCATTCTAGCGTACCTTCAATAAACAAATTTCACGTAAAGCAGAGCTCGGGACACCTTCATCATCCTCGTCGAGACGAACACGTTTTAAAGCTACAATTTCCATTGTTTCGCGGTTTCGCCCCTTAAATACAGTTCCATAGGTTCCCTCGCCAATTTTCTCCAATTTTTCATACTTTTGCATTTTGTTTTTATGTTGTTAAATGCAAAAGATCTTTTAGCAATTACACATTCTCAAATTAAATAAATCGATAAGGTTGAACCAACTACGCTTTATTTTCGCTTCTTCTTCTTTGTTCATGCACAATAAATATGAAAAAGATTTAAAGAAAAACAACACAAATTTGTAAAGAAGCGATTACTCATTTTGTATAATTTTATTAATTTGTGTCATGGAACGAAAAGTTCTCATAATATTTCCTTGTTTGTTTTTGGGCATAAATAACATCCTGGTAGTGGCTAGTGCTTGTTGTTGTTGAGATATTCGTGCTTCGCAGTTCTCTTTTTCTTGGTCTATTTGAGAGAGGGATATTTATGGTCTGGGATATTTATGGTCTGGGGATTTATGGTCTCTTATCTGTACAATAGTAATCATCTAACCGACAACCGATATTTGGGAAATGTGCAAGTAAGTGCCAATGATGAATGTATCTCAAGTGAGAAATTATTCACTAACTTACCAATGGTATGTTTGTGGTCATCTTTATTTATAAGAAAGAAATATTCCAACTTACAAATAAAATAATTAGATAAAAACAAGTCGCAAATGCTTTTCTTGTTGGGCTTTTCTTGTTCTTGTGACGCGTTGTTGTACAGCAAAAGATGATTGAAACAATTCTAATATATATTGAAGTGAGAGTAAACTGAACCTAAATTGTTTTCCAACGAACAAAAAAATGCAAGGCGAGAAATCTTGTTGAAAGCTACTTTGGTGCGTACACATTAAATGAATTTTCCAAAAATATAAATGAAGTTTTTATATTTTTCAAGGACGACGGCTTATTTTAGTTTACTTATATAGACTAAAAATAAAGTGATATATATTCGAAGTTCAAGTGCGCTGTTTCAAGTTTTCCTAAGATATGAAATTATGAAACCGCATGAATTCAATGAAACTATTTCACTTTATCAAAACTTCATTTTATAAAAATTTTTACATAATTTTATTTTCATTTACGTTTGTATGAGTTTGGTATTGATTCTAAACAAACGTGCCTCTTCTTTTCGAATTTGGAAATAAATTTCAAACGACAAAAGCCGTTCATAAAAAAAATGAGCGCTCGTTAACTAAGAGGTAGATTTTACCAAAGTCGAACTTCAAAAACATTCAAACAAATGTCGCTCATTTAATTACTCTCTCAAATTATCAAATTCGAAGTTCAAATACATTCAAAGAAATTTCGCTCATTTAATTATTCTCTCAAATTACCAAATTTAAAGTTCAAAGGCATTGCAACAATTATATATGCTTCTTTTTTTGTACTTTTTTGACGATCAGCACAGGAGAACTTAGATTATCAGTTTCACCTTTCCTTGTGCAATGTCTGAAAAGAGCTCCTGTGCCAAGATTTCCCATATACCATTTTGCGGATCCATCAATTATACATTCTTCAGTAGGCCAGTGTGTCCGTCTGTTCTTTTTTCTGTTGACAATGGAATAGACTCCATAATAGATAGATAGGTAGATAATTACTGCCTTGAAAATGTTCATTGAAAAGTGTAGCGATATCAAATCTCTGCATGGAGAAATAGGATGTTTACCTAATTCTCGCTATGTACTATCCGCAAATCTTCAGGCCGTGATTTCTTGGGACTCATATGCACACGTGGTTGCTTGCTTTTGGTTTTCAATTTTTTTATACTAGAATTCCAGCGAAAATGCAGAGAATATTGAATGTATATTTATTCTCACCTTAAATCCTCTCCTTCACTTTTCAGTTCTTGCTCCGTGGACAAAAATGCTTACACCATTTCGGCTATAAAAATGGAAAATTGATAAAAAATCAACGAGGGTAATGAAAAATTGATAAAAAATCAATGAAAAACATGAAAAATTGGTAAAAAATCAATGAAAAATACAATAAGAATTTGGAGCCGACGTAAAAACTACACACAAAAGAAAAACAAAAAAATAAAAAAGAAGAGAAACCAAATCTGTTCGTTGTGTTTCATTGAACATTTAACGGACCTTGATTGTATAATAGTTATGTTTTTACAGTTGTTGTTGTTATTATTATTGCTTTTGCTCTTCTTGTTCACATTTAAAGAGTAAGTGATGAGGAATGGTTTACATGAACATTTATAAAAACCGACCATACCGATTTAATTATTTATTTATTTATTTAATTTAATTCTACTTATACTAGAAACTCAACTGACTAAATAACAGTCGAGTTCAATTGGCTCACAATGCAAAACTTATATTAATTAATAATAAAATTTAGTATAAGTGTAATAAAACAAATAAAAAGAAAAAAAAAGGAAAAAGAAAAAAGAAAAAAAAGCATGTACACTATCAGCATAGGGCCACACTTACAACCGGTACAGGACCAAATTGCAAATGAACCCCTAAGCCATTGCAAACATGCATAAGCCTGGCAACCGATAATACTTAACAACAATTCATTTTCCAATCGTAACGAATTTTAAGAATAAAAGCTACTTTAAGTAAGACATAGGTAAATCGCGCGTATTAAGCAATATTGCTTTAATGGACTTTAAAGAGTCCGATAACGAGAATAAGTAATAGACGTCATTTAGGTTCTTGCAAACGACTCTGAGCGGATTGAACAGCTCATAATTAAATTTACACTGACTAAGCTTAACCAAGATAAAGTGCCTAGAGAAGCGGTTAGGGACATTAAAGCTTATTTCACCAAGTAATGAAGGCGAGTCAATGGCAGTATTTATTACTTTCATTAGAAAGGAAACGCCAACAACAAACCTACGTTTCTCAAGAGACGGTAAGGACAGCAGAAGCAACCTATTTTCATACGGAGGAAGAGATGCAATCGGATCCCAACCCAAATTTCTAAGGGCAAACAGCAAGAATTGCTTTTGAACAGATTCAATTGAATCTACGTAGCACCTATATGAAGGAGACCACACAACTGAGGCATACTCGAGTATGGGTCTAGGGATCAACAAGCTCTTTGGACCACCTTTTTATAAAACCAAGCGCGGACCTAGGTTTGCTAATCGAGAGCTCAATATGCAAGTTAAAACGTAACCTATGGTCAAATAGAACGCCTAAATCTGTGATCCAATCGACGTCCTCCAACTTATGCGAATCTATGAAACACTGAGTAATGAATGACTTTCTTCTTGAGAAAGAAAGCTTCTTACATTTACTCAGATTTAGTTTCAGGAGATTCAAAGAGCACCATGCAACAAAATTATCCAAATCACCTTGAAGCTGATGTGATTGCGATTCAACAGAGAAGGAAGAAAACAGTTTCACATCATCAGCATAGATTAAGATCTGGCTGGAATTAACCACCGATGGGATGTATAAACTAAATAAAATAGGACCTAAGTGACTTCCTGAAGGTACGCCAGACGTAACGGGGAGTTCATCCGAGGTGATGAAGTTAAACAAAACCCTGAAGGATCTATTGTGCAGATAAGAGCTTATCCATTTCACTAAGTAAGGTAGGAAACCAGAGGCTTGGAGGTTAAAGATAAGTAGTCTATGGTTAACCATATCAAATGCTTTGCTTAAATCAGTGTAAATAACATCTGCGCGAGAGCCGCTAGAAAAAGCCTTGAAAACATGACAGGTAAACTCTAACAAGTCAGTGACTGTAGATCGCCCTTTCCGAAAGCCGTGCTGTTGCGGAGAAATATACGAATTAATGGCATAAGCCAAATGCTGAGTCACAATTCGCTCGAACAACTTGGGCAAGACACTCAACTTGGCTATGCCTCTGTAGTTTTCAACAAATTGTCTACTTCCACTCTTGTGTATAGGAATAAGGAAACTACTCTTCCAACATGAAGGGAAAACACCTAAATACAAGGGCATGTTAAAAATCTTTGAGATCACACCACATAACTCGACAGCGCAAGATTTAAGTACACATGATGGAATTCCATTAGGTCCAGGCGAACAACTGTATTTTAGAGAACTCAACCCTTTAAAAACGTCATCTTCCGAAATAACCAAGTTAGGTATTGAAACCGAGTTAGTTATAGGATATGGGTAGATTGCTGATAAATCGAAATTAGCAATCGAAAAGTTTCGTCGGAAATACTCGGCAAAGAGATTTGAGATTTCAAAATCATCCGAGGAATCAGAGCCATTAAAAGAAACATGAGAGGGATATGTGGACATTTTTCTTTTAGAGTTAACAAATTTAAAAAAGAATTTTGGATTAGCAAACAGAGAGTATTTAATGAGCTGAAGGTATCTGCAGTAATAATGATGGTTGAGGGAGTTAAATCTATGCCTCGCCACCGAGTAAGCGACATAGTCGAGCGCAGAGCCACTTTTCGAATATTTTTTGAATAGCGAGTTTTTTCTATTCTTGTGATATTTAATTGTCTTATTAAACCACGGGAGACACCTGCTTCAAGGTCGACACTGCTTGATCGGAGCAGATGCAGCAATAGCTAGATTTAATGTATTGTAGAACGATGACAATAAGCTTTCAATACTGCCGGTTGAGAAATAAAGCCTCATATGTGAAAGACGATGTTTTAGCAATACAATATTGATTTTATGAAAATCATAGTAATTATTGAAAAAAGTTTGATTTGGCACATTACGGCATTTCAACAAACCATCATTCATATGATGAAAGGAAATGCATCTTGATGAATGATAAGGATCCTCAGGTAAACTAAAAGGTGGACAACGATTTACGTAAATCTCGGGAAAATTGGCAAAGCAGAGATCAAGCAGTCTACCATTACAATTAGGGGTACGGTTATATTGACCCAAATTATGATCAAACAATTCACTTAAGAACACAACGGTCCTATCAGACGTTGAAGTAGGAACCAAGCAGCCAGAATTATCAGTGTTACACCAAGTGACTTGAGGCAAATTGAAGTCACCCAATGCAACGACCAAATCGGTGGGTCTAGACCGCTTGGCCACTTCACAAATGAGGGCAGTGTGTTTTTTGGAAACGGAGATATCAGAATTTGGGGGAATATAGGAGCAGGTTATAAATAGATGTTTATCAGGCATATTCGCACGAATAGCGATAAATTCAACGTCAGGAAAAGTGGGAAATTCAATTAAATTGGACGGGACTGACGCAGATATGGCAATTAATACACCACCACCAATGCGATTCACTCGATCATTTTTAAACACTTGGAAAGAATTATGAAAAAGTTCCGACGAATGTAGATCGGGTTTTAGCCAAGTTTTAGTAAAGGCCAAACAGAAAAATTCCGCGCTCACAGAATTTAGAAAAGTGGAACGAATTTCCGAATTTAGGCCCCTAACATTTTGATAAATGAGAGATAGTGGGCCTGAAGAAACAATTAGTTTTTTGAAGGCGACAAGACTATTGCCTTGGTATTACGGGGACGATCTCGAGGGATAAATTTCTTAATTAAGGATCCTACTGGCCACAGTGATTTGTTTAACAACATATCACTGTTTTCAGTCGGAACTAATATTTTAAAAGAGGAGATTGCCCTAGCTTGAGAAGGAGCCATTTTGAAGATGCTAACACGCTTTAAGTTGACTGATGGGACTTTCGTCGCCAGATAACCTTTTATGTTATCCACCGATGTTTCAGGTGCTGGTCTTGACACAAATATTGCTTTTCTGGGAGGAACTGCCGTCAAGCAAATGTCATTATTTGGAACAGGAGGGGGGTTCACAGTAGGAGAGTTTCGAGTTGGGGAGAATATAGATGAGGTTATCGCCCTTGTACCGGCAGCTTGTGAGACTTGCCCAGTCTGGTGACCAGCATTCACACGCGAACAGCCAGGAGGAGAGGATGACTTATTTTTCTCTTCATTACTTTTAGGCGATGGCACTTGATTAGAGTGAGTGGCGGCTATGGGCGGAGATACCCTTGCCACTTCAGCATAGCTTAAAACCGATGGACTTGCCGGTTTGTTTGTAACTGTTTTGCTACCAACCGACTCAGCAATATCGGAAACATTACTGTTCATTTTAGAGTTAGAGGGAGCGGTAACTTGTACCAACGAATTAGATTTAGAGAAAGCCAGAGGTGACGTTCCACACGCTACGCTACGAGTAGAAGATGAGTGTCCAATAAAACGACACTCATCAAACCTAGACTTAATGAGCTCAAACTTTTCCCATAAGGAGCCGAGATTTCTACTCATTTCCGAGAAACCTTTACGCGTCTCCGTGAAAAGTTTATAATCTTCTACTCGTAGCGTAGCGTGTGGGACGTCACCTCTGGCTTTCTCCAAATCTGATTCGTTGGTACAAGTTACTGCTCCCTCTAACTCTAAAATGAACAGTAATGTTTCCGATATTGCTGAGTCGGTTGGTAGCAAAACAGTTACAAACAAACCGGCAAGTCCATCGGTTTTAAGCTATGCTGAAGTGGCAAGGGTATCTCCGCCCATAGCCGCCACTCACTCTAATCAAGTGCCATCGCCTAAAAGTAATGAAGAGAAAAATAAGTCATCCTCTCCTCCTGGCTGTTCGCGTGTGAATGCTGGTCACCAGACTGGGCAAGTCTCACAAGCTGCCGGTACAAGGGCGATAACCTCATCTATATTCTCCCCAACTCGAAACTCTCCTACTGTGAACCCCCCTCCTGTTCCAAATAATGACATTTGCTTGACGGCAGTTCCTCCCAGAAAAGCAATATTTGTGTCAAGACCAGCACCTGAAACATCGGTGGATAACATAAAAGGTTATCTGGCGACGAAAGTCCCATCAGTCAACTTAAAGCGTGTTAGCATCTTCAAAATGGCTCCTTCTCAAGCTAGGGCAATCTCCTCTTTTAAAATATTAGTTCCGACTGAAAACAGTGATATGTTG